CGTTAAGCGAGCCCAGCTACTGATATTTGAGATGTGCTCTGAAGCGAGAACAGGTGTTTGAATGACGCTGAGTCGTAGCGCAAGCTACTTATAGGGTGGGTGGATTCCCTGACGTAGACGTCAAGATCACCAGCCAATCAGGATTGGCGTAATGAGATTGATGCTTCTGTTTGCATACGCGTTGAAGCGCATCCCATAGTGAGACATCGAACGGAGTGTTATGAATGAGAACTGTGATGGATGTTTGTTTGCCTGACATTTGATCTATTTTTGGTGATGTTCCCAGAAGCAATTACTCTGGTGAGAAATGTTATCATAACTGATATAATCAAGGGCTGGAGCTTTGAAAGTAAATCCCACGTTGTAATTAACTGTAGTTCTCCTTTAAGCACAGTATTGATCCCAACAGTTAAAGGCTTTAAAATTGGATTGGGAAGTGTTTACATTTTTGTGAATTGATGGTGCTGTCAATCTGTTCAGTTTTATCCTTCCATCGTGTCGCCGCTGTTGTCATTAGAGCTGAAAACGTTCACTTGTTAATTGATCGGATTTTCCATCTTGCATTGCATTTTCAGTAACTGCATTTCCAGTAATACATGGCGTACATAACAATGGGTGGGCTCGCCAAATTGAAAAACATTTGCACATTATTTTTTAATAACTGTGAGTTGCTCTATAACAGATTGATTGAAACAGAAGTGAGAACAGTCATGGGTTTCCTTATATGGCTGAAAAGACAGGATGGAAAATAACCTCCGGTCTTTAATGACGGCCGACAAAGCCGGCTAAAACTGTTGTATCTTTGAAAAAGAAACACTACATTCACAACCTGAAGGTTGCCTTTTATGCTGTCCAACTCCTTTGATGTCTTGGAGAGCTGATGCAGGATGTTGCTCCGTTCACTGAAGACTTCTTTTAGCTTCTTTTCCAGCCCATCGTAGCTTTGTCTGTTGAGAGAATGAGATATTTAGATTTCACTATAACATTTCTTACACTGGCTAAGATAATTTACTCTTTATTGGCACCCTTGGGAGGAAGAGGTGTGTTTAAACTGGATTGAAAGCACAATCTTTAAGGCTAAAGGCCCTAGCTATAGGGGAGATAACTAATATCTACTCAGCACAGTCTCTGGAAGAATAGAAGAGAAGGAATAACTTATATTCCTTTCAATCAACCAATTTATTGAAGGCTCATTTTACTGAGATATTTCTTGTGACCTGAGGTATGATTCTGCTTCTCCAATTTAAATATCCACATATTCCAATTATTAAAGAGAACTTCTACAGGGCACATTTATCAAATCCTGTTTGTCTCTTTCAAAACTGAACTCTTGCATGGCACTGCAGAGGAGTTATTTTCATTTATAACTGAACTCTGAAAATATGGAAGATCAGGGCACCAAAAGAGGAATTTAAGGGGCCTGTCGGTAAAGGGAAAACAGACTCAAAGGAAAAAGGTCACTTGGCTAAAAGACCCAACCAATTTGGCCTATGTTGGATCCATTGTTGACAACTGCATTTTCCCTTTGAACCCTTTTATTGATACATATGAACATACAACATCATATCTCTTACTTCTGTACACAATTCAGAGCACAGACACATATATTGTTTACAACCTTGTTTTCTGAATCAAGCGCAGCAACAACTGATATGAGAGGTGTTTAAAATCCAGTATATCTGATTGTGATGCCCTGCAAATAAATAAGAGTCAAGGCCCTGTATTTCTATAATAATAATAATGATTCTCATATACTTGAATATTTTGATGACCTCACAAGTCTTCCGACTGTTGATGCTGTCACAAGGACAGATACAGGAAAACAAATCACAATCCTCTCTGGCTGGAAGAGAACTCTCCGCTCCATAGTTTTTCTCTTCACTGTACATTTTACATTTATATATTCAGTCTAATATTTAATATTCCATCCGTCACATACTTATGTAATTATAATACCTTGCTTTATATGTTGTTATTGCTCATTTGTAAATTCAACATGTATATTTTCTACTTTCTTGTTTATTTCTTGTCTTTTAATTTGTATTGTGCAATGCCATGTCTTGTTATGCTGCTGCAACACAAACATTTCCAAAATTGGGATCAATAAAGTTCTATCTTATCTTATCTCTAACACTATCCATAACCCATCCAATGGCCCCTCTCTGCTGGTCTGTTATGAAGTTAGCCGGTAGAGGAGAAGTAAAAAGAAGAGATCATTTTCATTTGAAATAAGAAATGTTATGCTTTTTTTTTTAAATGTTAAAGATGTTTTCCATCAGAATGTGAATACATTAAATGGCCATGCCTCACTCTGTAGTTGCCCTATTTTACTTTGGCCATTTCTTAGCAAGTAGGCTAATGCAGTGGTTGCTGCAAGGAATAAACTAGGGCCAGGGCCACAGTCTATACAACGAATGATTGTGCTACTTGGATCAAGCCAACTGTTCTCCCTAATATAATGTGAAACATGAGGATACATTAAATAAAGATTCCATTGTTTTGGCTAAACCCTGCACATATAAACACCTTATTACTTGAGCTTCAAGTCAACGTCGATTTTTTTTTTTTAATGGCTCAAAATAACCATGCAAACTTTGAATCCTGCTGTTTAGTCATTGAAGATTTGGCTTATTACGTTAATGAAAAAACAAAGTTTGAGCAATCATTCCTTTTCTTTTTTGTTGCAAATAGGTCCCATATACAGTATATGTAATATCATTATCTGGAACACATGTTTGTTATAGTCAAATAAGGTTTCATTTTTTTTAAATCAAGCAAACAACAACACAGCTCTGTTAGTATATTGTTCCAAATAATTCAAAAGATCAAAATAATTTTCTCTGCCTACTTCCTTATGTAATCTCAAACTCCAAATGACATCAGCAGCTTTACGCACTACGTATGCACTTGGCATAGCGGAATAATTCCTCGCTAAATACAAAAATCTCACATTCCTTCCCTTTTACATTAATAACTTTTTATAGAAACACTCTACCATTCCCCACTTGCTACTGAAGGTACCAAAAAAAAAGTATTCTGCATCCATGGCTTCCTTTCAGCCTGGGCCCTCTTCCAAAAAGCCTGCACACCCCATGTCATAGATCCTAGGTGCAGATCATACATAATAACACATAAATCACTAATAGAAAAGCAACACCTGGGAAATAAATAATACGGCATACTGAATCCCACACATGACTTGCCACCACATGGCATTGGCGGGGGAAATATATTGCAGGTTCAGCCGACGAAGGAAGATGGGGTTAGAGATTCCTCCCTGTCTGCCATATTATTCACTGCCCAATGGAATAGGCCCGTGGGTATCTGTGAAATGAAAGCGACCTATAATTTGAGGCCCACAGACACATATATCACAGGCTTGTTGGATTAGGTCTGGACTTTTTTTACAACAAATCCACTATAAACTGCTCATTGCAGCAAACAAATGGTACCAGCTGCATGACTACATCATGACCTCTAAAAGTCCAGTGTTCTAGCAGCCTCCTCCCAATTTGTTTAGTCAGAGATGTTTAAAAATGAGGAGCAGAATGCCTGAGAAAAAGGCTGATGATCAGAAATAGCACCACCAGGCACATGGCCATAGAGCGGTGGAGAAGAGATGATTAAATATTTCATTTCATAAATCTGCAGTTTGAAATCACTCACTTGGTGTCTTTATAGAACTCATCAACTACCCAAGACTGATGCCGAGGCATCTTTTATTGGATCCGACTATGGAGGGCAAATATGTCTGTTGGAGTCACAGCCGGTTCTGAGTTATATGAGGCTGACCTTGCATTGTGGGAAATAACTGCTGAGGCTTAAGAAAAACACTACAGTCAACAACCAAACAATAGCTTAATAAAGCAATCCAAGGCTATAGCATAACAGAGAAATCTGCAAGAGCTTACGATCCATTGTTGACAAGAGCTAGCTTCTAAATACAACGCTAATAATTGCAGCTTTTCCTAAACAGCCTAGTGCAACCACCCATAACACGCTGTTGACTATGATAGTGTTTGACATGGAAATAGAAAACAATACAAGTAGTTTAGTGGGAATGCTGTTAACAGCATTCCAACTAACTGTTCTTCTACGGACGATAAGTTTATTATTATTCCGCCGGTATTTTGCCGCGCTTCTCCTCCCGCATTGAACATCGCAGAAACTCCGTTCAAACATCAAAACTTTCAGCTCGGTGAGGAATCGATGGATATTACTTTTCTCATTCATAACTTTCATAGTTCCAGAGATACATCCCATAATAAATCAAATTTGTAATATTGAAGTCAATGGAGAAAATCTTCAGACTTCAACAAATCTTCATGCAATTCAACTGCTAACTGTTCATTCGTACTTTCACTCAGACACCTCATTCCAACTTTAAAATGTTACACATCTTTCTGACATTATTCGTCTAAAACAACTTTTAAATCTGATTCTTACTTTTAGAGATATTAAACATTGTTCAGACCTTGTTTTAGAGGTTTTCTTCACATTTTAACATTAACTAGAGTATGTGATGTCACAGCTAGAGTGGAGGACAGCTTGAAATTCACATTCATATTTTTTTTTAAACTGCCATAATTCCCAAACCCTGCATTCCTGAGACATAATTTATCATGACAAACGTAGGAAAACATCTCGTACAGTAGCTTGAAAAATGACAAAATATTAAGCAAAAAATAATTAAACAAAGTGCCTCTTGAGGGCATGAAGTGACAAAAATGTTCAACATGTCTCCATTAAAGCCCATTGTAATTTCAGGCAGATATTTCCTCACAGCAGCAGCCGCACACCTTTAGTTAAACTGCCAAAAAGGCCACATTATTAACCCGAAACTACAGAAAAATTACACTTCAGATACTCAACTTCCTTGACATGCTTCACGTTTTGAAATTTCAAGGATATTTGTTACGGTTCTTCCACAAAACGTTCACATGTAAGAGGTTTATCTCTCATTCAGAACAATGAAGCCTTTGATCTCTACAGAGCTCGTTAGCTCAACTATAAACACCTGTGTAATGGAACACGATGATGTCATCACTCCAACTGACATGCTCAGAGCAGCAGACTTCAGATAGCAGTGTGCAAACAGTCCAGCCGTGAAGACATCTACGGGACAGTTTTGAGATTTCTTCAAATGCCGTTGCCATGGCAACACAATGCTCGCCTTGAAACACGGTTTTCTCATAACTTCAGTGAAAATACTCCAAACAGCCCAGAACTTCACAGGTTTGGTAACGATGCAGCCATCAACGCATCTAAGCGTAGTATGGGGTGTCATCAAATGCCGTTGCCATGGCGAC